TCTTATTTGGCCTTCTATAAGTGATGATGATGTCTATAAAGTTAGAATAGTAGACAAGATGCATAATTTTTGTTCTAGCTCTATGCCACAATCACACACACACATGTATCCCTTTTTGATTGAAAGGAGTTGTTGCTTCTAATAGAGACAGGTTTTACTGAATGAAACTTCAGAAAGGTATCTGTAAATAATATTTATTCTCTAATGAGTCATGAAACATTTTTCTAGGCAAAATCTGCTCTCCATTAAGATAGTTCTTACTGAAAACTATTTCTCTATATCGTGTGCCAGGAAAGTGAGGATGTTAATAACAGTCCAACTTTCAGTGAGAACAACTCCCAGTAGTATTTCAAGAGGTTCAGCAAATCTAGGATAATGTGAATAGTTTCCAGGAAGCATGCTTGAGTATTTAATGTTTTTCTTACTGTATCCTCTTTGTTATTATTAGTGTCTAGTGTATTCAGTTTCTATAGAGAGTCTATTAACAGAATTATTGAAAATACCACTGAGTACTTGATGACAGAGTAATTATTATTTAAAAATACAATTTCCAATGCTCCTTTTTTCCTTTGTTTCCTAAGAACAAAGCTTAGTGTGAAATATAAGTACAATGGGTTCTAAAAATCTTTAGTAGCATTTTAATCAAATACCAAATAACTTTTAAGCTATGAAATGTATGGTGAAATTACAGGTTTGTATGACTTTCCTTGCTGGAAATCTTTTTATTTGTAAAGTTTGGTTCAAATACAGACTGTAAAAAAACAATATTCATGAGCTTCCAACATAAGCATATAATCTGTAGATAAAGACAAAATTCTACAAAAACTTTTAGATAAGACGCTTTGTTATTAGGGCTTGAATTTAGTCACATTTCCTTAGTTGAATGATTTACCATTTAGTTGTTACATAAAGCAGTTGTTTCATATTTTACAATCCGTTTTGTATTTTTTTACGTGAAAAATATCTGATTCATATATTCTTTATACCAGAACTATGTAAACATGTTCGTAATCAGTTTGTCCACCTCAAAACAGTATCTTTAAAAACGTTGGAGTTTTTAAATCAGAACTTTTGAAAGTTCTGGATTTGGAGTTTTATAAGTCACTGATTTAAAGTGTACAGCCATCCGCAATAAAAGCTGAAGGTGAGGTACAGTGCTTTATGTGAAATAAAGGTGGACAAGAATGGTATCTATGAAACATTTATTTCTCCCTGTTCCACTTTCACTTCAAAAATAAATAAAACAGATTTAAGATAAATTACATTTATATCATCATAGCTATGATTAATTATATTTAATCATTTAAAATTAAGATGTGTTATATGCATCAAAATTCTTTGGGGGATATAAATATTTTTATGTAAGTGAAATTTGTATATATCCTAGAAAACTTAACTGTGAATTTCTCCCTTTTCACATCAAACTTAAATATTTTTCCAGTGAGCCTTTTTTCTATTCTGATGTATATCAAGGTGAAAATTTATTATTTTGCTAATTTACTATATTTAACAGTTTCTGTTTTAACTTCTAGAGACTTTCATTTGCAAACTTGTTTAGATTAACCATGTATTAAAAATGATACAATATGAACCATCAATGTAATTTTTCTTTTCCACCTTTATATTCACATATTCAAATTCACAGTGGTTTTTATTTAGGAGATCATTATATTACCAATTACTATTAAAAGTAATGGCATCAGGAATATATTTAACTTGGGTTAGTAAAAACATCTATGTAAACTATTATTATCAAATAATAGCTATGGAAATAAAAGTGTCATAGTTGTGAGACCAGAAAGAAGTGAATTATGACATAAATTTATAATTATATTTTAACCCTGTAACTAGCTACTCTTAAAAAAAACCTCAAACTAATAACGTATATCAAGGTAGTTTAAAGGTTTGTTAATGATTTTTATGTCACAGATAGAAAATGTTAGGCACTCTGATTAGATTTTACTTATTCCTTTTTTTCTTCTTTAGAATTTAAATGATGATGCTAGCGAAAAGATATAGATTCAAGATAAACATCTCTGCCACATTGATGTCATGAGGATTGCTGTAACCTCTTATCTAAGAGGATTATAAGATAAATGATTTTCACTTTACTCCAGAAAACTGAAATTGGGTTTTAGAAGACTCCAACTACTTTCTGTGTTAATTTTTATCTTAAAAAAGAAAAGTTAATATTTTCATAATTTTTTCAGATCTTCTAATTTTATAGATGCTGTCATAATCATTAAATTACTTACTGCTTTGTTAGGAAATCTGGTGTATTATTCTCTCTTCAGATTATCTTTCTAAAAGGGAAACAATATGCACAGTGATTAGTTGACTACACATAGTTCAGAATAGTTTCATGCTTGCAATAAATTCATCTAATATATGTATATTTACAATATGTAGTGTATAAAAAGGGATTTTTAGTTAGGTTGAAAAGCTATTAAGAATCTTTGAGTACTTTATATATAATGATCTTGTGAACAATTAATTACTCTTTCTACACTACGTTTTCTCAGTCTAAACACTAGAATAATATAAATCCAGGCAGACTAAGTTGAAAAAGATTACATTAGTCATTGAAAGCAATCATACACTTATTAGTTAGTTAAATACATGGCACTGAGTTGAAAATCAATATGATCACTTATTACTATAACTCATTGTTATACATTTGTTTTTCTTTTTAATTTTTCTGCCCAGCTTTTGTCAAGAGGTTTATTTGCATCACTGCATAACTTTAAGGAACATAGAATAATAATTTGAGATATATATATGTGTATATATATATATATTATGAAATGATTAGCACAGTAGTTTCAGTGAACATCTGTCTTCTGAAATGGATGTATTAACAAGAAATAGGAGAAAAGAATAATGCAGAAAAGAATGTATCTTTGTCATTGTAACTCAATGTATTCTAACCAAATTTTTATATATCATATCACAGTGTTAGCTATAGCCATCAATTGTAACATGCCCAGTACTTATCATATAACTCTATGTTTATACTTTGAGTCCCTTCCTCCAATGCAACTTCTCTCCCCTTTGCCTTTGATACTAAAAGTCTGAACTTTTTCT